TACCCTGCCCCTTTGTTTTAATTAATTTATTTTTTAATTTTGAGATAGGATCTCAGTTGCTGAGGCTGAGGGTTTTAACCTGTGATCTTCCTACATCAGCTTCTCCCGAGTTATTGGGATTACAGGCATGTTCCACTATGTCCAGCCTTTCTCTGCATGATTGATTTAGCATTGAATTCACATATCAAGTTTTAAATTTCATTTATAAAATTTCAATTAGGAGCTGGGGCTGGGGCTGTAGCTCTGTGGCAGAGCACTTGCCTAGCATGTGTGAGGCACTGGGTTCAATCCTTAGCACCATATAAAAAAATAAACAAATAAAATAAAGGCATGATGTCCATCTACAACTACAAAAAAATTTTCAATTACATTTTTTTATTCGTTTCTGTCCTCTGATGAGATTCTCTATCATACTATGATTTTATTGAACACATTTAATACAATCATTTTAAAACTTTTGTCTGCAACCCCAATATCTGTGTTGTGTGTGGTCTACAGGACCATTATGGTAGATTTTTTAAAAATTCATTTTGTATTAGTTAGCTTCATGTTACGGTAACAAATGCCTGAGATAATTAACTTATATTATATCTTCAAACTGTAAATACATTTTGTTCTGTCCCTAGCAAGCCTAACAATTTTTGATCAAACATTGAATATAGCAAATGAAAAATTATAGACTACGGATATTTTCTCTCCCTTCACAGAAGACTTTATTTTTTCTCGTCAGTAGTTACATTATGGGTAGATGAGTTTGATTTAATCAGAGATTGAACTGAGCTGATTCAGGGTTTGGTTTCATTGTTTGTAAAGGCTAGTCTGTTCTGTGGTTTGCTCTCTTTTCTAGAGCATAATCCTTAAGGAATTTAAACTGGTGGGCTAGGATGTTTACCAACTCCCTATTTCTTGGCAAATCCTGAACATGCATTTAAAAATTTTTAGTCCTATTTGTCCTCCAAAAGTTTTAAACTGCTGCTCTCTCTTTGTTCTGTGAGCCTGAGCTTTCTTTGTGATCAGAAAATACTCTATAGTGTAAAGTTTTGGAGAATATAAGACTTATTTTCTAGTGGTCTCATTAGAAGTTAATTTGATTGGTACAGGCTTTTCATTCATACCTGGAAGTGGAAATTTCTTCATTAACTTTTTCTAGAAGAGTCTTTCCTACTGTCCTTTTGTCTTCTTTATTAGGTCGACTCTTTTAAGGTGTGTATGCCAGCTTTGTACAGATTATCCTACAATGTGAACTTACATGGTTATTTCCTTAATTACTGGTGATGCTCAGGTTGATGACTTGATGGTAAAAAGTGAAAAATATATGTTTTTCCTATGAAAATGACACTTTCAGATTTGTAAATAT